TTTGCTCTATATTCTGGAGTATATTTTTAGGTCTGTTTTTGAGATCAGTAATTCAGTTTTCTGTCCCTCCATATATTTTCACTCCTTCTAGATTGTTTTAATTTCAACAATTGTTTTTTAAATTATTTCTCCTAATTTTTGAGAGTTTTCTTATTATCAGCTTTCTCTTTGGTAATATCTTCTTGAATCTCATTGAAAATTTGTATCAGAGAATTCTCTTTCTTGCTCTCTTGCCTCTATTCTACTTAAACAGCCTCCACTTTATTTTGATTTCTCAATGTTTTAGCTCTCCTTTTAGGCTTTTTATTCTTTCAAATTTCCAGTCTTTCTTTTTTTTTTTTCTTTTTTTTTGCGGTACGCGGGCCTCTCACTGTTGTGGCCTCTCCCGCTGCGGAGCACAGGCTCCGGACGCGCAGGCTCAGTGGCCATGGCTCACGGGCCCAGCCGCTCCGCAACATGTGGGATCTTCCAGACCGGGGCACGAACCTGTGTCCCCCGCATCGGCAGGCGGACTCTCAACCACTGCGCCACCAGGGAAGCCCTCCAGTCTTTCTTTCTCTTCTTCTTCCCCTTCTTCTTCTTCTTATCATTCTTTCTCCTTCTTCTTCCTCCTCTTCCTCCTTCTCTTTTTCTCCTTCTTAGCCTTCTCCTTCCCATCCTCCTCCTCCTCTTCTTCCTCTTCTCCTTCTCCTTCTTCTTCTGTATGTGTGTATTTTTATTCCTTATGAAGACAGGCCTAGACGTACCAGCACCATCAGCCAGTGTAGGTTCGTTCAGCACTATTGAGGTCAGGCTGTTGGTGACTTGAAGGTGTTGGACCCTTTCCAGGTAGATCAACAGCAAAGGGTAGACAGGCTAGGATTCCTGAATTTAGGAAAAGGAAAGGCAACTGGGTCCATGAAGTTGTCCAGGTTCATGAGAAGAAAAAGGGGGCACTGAAAAAGATCGATGCCCCTCAGCAGGACTGGCCCACCTAGGACAGCTGGTGCCAGGATGGTCAGCTCCTCCTGGCACTGTCAACAGCACACTAACTGGAAGGCTGGCTTTCCCTGGGCTTTGCCCCTTTCCCTCTGAGAGGCAAGCCATTACCCACTGCAAGCAAGTTCCAGGTGGTTGCCTGAATCATCTCCATGGAAACTGATACCCTACTTAGGCCAGTGGGACCTCTTCCAAGCTTCCTTGCTTCCCTGGACTTTGGTCATAGGGGTTAAGCCATCTCAAAAGAGTACTGAGCTGGGAATGAGTTCAAAACATGCAGTTAGAGTATTTTATTTTCCCTCTACATCTGCAGAAAATATATTTCATTATTTTAAAATTGAAGGTAAAAATAACTTCTATTTGTTAAAAAGGGAACTCATGGCATAGTGGAATCACCTCATGTGTTGACTCCAATACCCTGCACAAGATCCATGGCTTAGAGCCATCCAGCCCTAGGTTCCTCCTCAGTGAAGTAGGGGTGATGGAACCAATGGGTCCAGGCCTCTTCCAAACAACCTTGTGAAAATCAAACATTATGAATGTGAAGATACTTTCTTGGAAGTAAATCACCATGAAAATGCAAGCTGATGTTACATCAATAAGAATTCAAGTTATAATTAAAAAAGAAATGGGCTGTCTCATGTAGCAGTAAAACTCCCTATCACTGGAAGCATGCATGAGAAAGTTGCTCAGCACTTAGAGACATTTGGAGAGATGGATGCATCAGACTTTAGAATCGTTAATCTCTGTGACCCTTTTCAATTTTCTAAAAATCTATGATTCATCCAGCACTTGGAAGTATCATAGGCCTGGGAACCAAAATTTCTCTGAAGTTAAACTCAACTCCATAAATGTGAAATCAAGTAGGACCAAATATATATTCCAAATTGAGGTAAAGTATGGCCTCGATATGTGGCTAACGCACACAGACCTCTCTCTCACTAATAGAAAAAAATTACAGTGGGAATTCTTCAGTAAAATGACTAGCTGCAGTCCATTGTCATCATCCTGGCAGGCTGAGGGAGAGATGGATCCCAGGCTTAATTAGCAAAACTTGACAAATTCTCTCTCGAGCCCTAGGCTCCAAGCCCACCTGCTCCTGCTGCCTCATAGGCATAGAATTCCAGTCTCCAGTCTGTGCCTAGATGTGGTATAAATGGATGAGTTCATAGGGTACAAGTTATCAAGAAAAAACATCCACCCATACTCAAATGAAACCTGAGTGCGAATAACATCTCTGTCAGTTATCATATCCAGTATATGCCGAAAACTAATGAGCCTGTTGTTAAACTTCTACTGGAAACTGACAGTAGAGTCGCATCCTCATGAAACCAAGTATCACAGTGCAAAATGAAAGGGAAAATAAAATCTGGCTGTTGAGACTTTTCTTGATTTACTTGATTCATTAATTCAACCAACACTTACCAAGAATCCTTTATGTGCTGAGGTACTTTGCTCAGCATCATGGAGGGGATCCAGAAAAGAACTAGTGACACGTTCTGTCCCCAAGATATTTATAGTAATAGGTGCCAACAAACTATGACAAAGTAGAAAATTACTGTGAGAAGTAGAGAGAGATCAAGGTATGAGAAGGTTATTTGTCCCATCAAGGACATGGGAAGTTTATTTCTTACCAAGGGGTTCAGGGAACTCTTCCTGGCCAATCAGTATTTGAGCTCAATCCTGAGCAATGGGAAGAATACAGATGTGCCAGGATGAAGGTGAGCCAAGGCCCAGAGGCATGTAAATATGAGGGATGTTCATGGACAAGGAGATAATAATGGCACATATCAAGTGCTTACTGTGTGCCAGGTGCTATGCAAACTCTTTAAAACTAATTATTTCATTAGACTGAGAAAACTGAGGCATAGAGAAGTTGAATAGCTTCTTTGAAGTCACAGAGCTTAGAAGTGTTGGAATTGATACAACGTCTGGTGGTGGTTACAGGAGGGTACGTAAAAGCCACTGATGATAAATCAAGAGGATATTGGATGCCAAACCTAGGAGACCAGTGTGTCCAGCTCTTGATATATTCTTCCCAGATGTTGTTATTGAAAAGATTCAATACATCTGTTACTAACTAAATTTTCCACTCATCATAATGGTTTGGGAAATCTTGAAAACCTAGACTTCTTTGACAGAGTGAAAATGGTCAACTGTTATCACCTGCTTCACCACAAGGTTCTTAGCTCTGAATTCAGCAGAACTCTGAGATGATCTAAGGAAAGGCTTACTGTAAGTTGGAACCACTTTACTCTGGCAGAAGAGGAGTAAGGAGCTTTGGTGAGAGTCTCTTCATGAGATAGGCAACTGAGTGGTATAGAATGGAGTCCCCCCACTCAGTTCAGACAGAAAAAGAAAGTCCTACTATGTGGAGAATAGATAGGCTAGACTAGAACAATAGTCCACAAACCTGGGGTCAGCAAACCAGATTCAGCTTGCCACCTGTTTTTGTAAATGATGTGTTATTGAGACAAAGCTGCTCATTCATTCATGTATTGCTACTTTCATGCAATACTGGCAGCGCCGAATAGCTGCTACAGAGACTGTGTGGTGTGCGGACACTAAAATATGTGGCCCTTTACAGGAGAAGTTTGCCAACCTCTAAAACAGAAAAATCGGAATCCTAGCACATTCACGTTGGAAGGAAGAATGGAGGTCATTTAATCCATACTCTTCTCCCCTCCCCACTCCCCAGCCCCTGCAACATACTCCACACACACAGATAAAGAGGCTGAGCCCCACAGAGATTTACCTAAAATCACCGAACTGGAAGGGACCATGATTGGGTCACTAACCATTAGACTCGTGTTTCTTCTACCACACCAGTTCTGAAAGACTAAAGTAACTTCTAAACAATTACTCAATAACTAGGTGCCCAGCACCATGCTCTCTCAGGGTTCTAAGATGAGAATAGTAGAAGATCTGGGGCCTCCCCATCCTGTGGTCCACACCAGACATGGTGATAGACCTTGCACAGTGGAGTTGTACCTCAGTACCCTCTAAAGTCGGCACATGAGGGAAAAATCAAACAGTACCTAAATTCCCTTTAAACTCCCGCTGGAAGACCTCACAACAGAAGCAGACTTCATGTCTCTCATAGGGTTCAGCACCACCAGTCGGTCCTTTGAGGCTGGAACTGATTTCTGCTTTTTGGTGATGCCTCAGCTGCAGTAGCTGGCTTGTGTTCAGCAGCCCTATCTTCAAGATGCCTCCCAGCTCTGAGCGGCCCACAGGGAATGAGACACAGTGAGGATACGGTGGCAGGCGCTCACCTCCCATCGCACCTCCGCTTGGCCTGGGGCCTCTGCTTATTGAGCAGAAGACCAGGAGTCATCCCCATGTTATTCAAATTATGTTCCTGCTCTTCTTCCCCCTCTAGCTTTTATAGATGAATGAGTGTAAGATGGGTCTCCACCGGATATTTGAAGCATTTGACGCAGTGTGTGGAGTGTGTGTGTATGTGCATGGACGGGATTCAGACACAAATGTGCAGAGAGGTGAGATTTTCCCAAACAGGAAAGTCTCTGTGGAAGTAGCAAAACTTGATGTGGCTTTTGTATCAGAGATGTACAGAATCTTGGAATTAGAATGTTATTTGAGGGCCAAAGACTCCCAGACCATGCGCAGTGCAGGAATTGCACCTGTGGCATCTTGACAGACAGCCTCTGCCCGAATCCTCCAGGTGATACACTCACTATTTCCTGGGGGAGCCCACTTTGTGCTCAAGTAACTTCAGTGGTTATGACACTGCAGAATGCATTTTGGGACTCAGTAGAGCATAGGTCTGTCTCAGTGTAGAAAGAAAGCAGCAAGAGGCAGAGTGACAGGTAAGGAAAGAATTTATTAGTATAGGACGCTTGTGAGAAATATAAGCGGTAGGCAAGGGGGTGTCACCCCGAGAGCTTACTGTGCTACAGTTTTTTGTTTTTTTCTGTCTATACATATTATACTTTATTTAGATGATACCACAAGGAAGCTAATAACAACCTGTTTTTTTCCAGAAAAGCTAACTGGACTAAATGGGCCAACAAAATCTATCATCACTGACTAAATTCATTCTGATGGGAGTCACAAGGCGTCCTGAGCTGCAGGCCCCACTTTTCGGGGTCTTCCTCATTAGCTACACAATCACAGTGGTGGGAAGTCTGGGAATGATCATCTTGATCCAAGTGGATTCCCACCTACACACACCTATGTACTTTTTTATCAAACACCTGGCTTTCATTGATCTTGGTAATTCTACTGTCATTTGTCCTGAGATGCTGGTATATTTTGTTGTGGATCAAAATACCATTTCCTATTATGCATGCACCACACAGCTGGCTTTCTTCCTTATGTTCATTGTCTTGCAGCCATGTCTTGTCAGCCTATGACTGCTATTTGGCCATCTGTAGTAACCCTCTGCTCTACAATGTTATCATGTCCCAGAGACTTTGTCATGTGCTGGTAGGCATTCCATACCTCTGCAGTACCTTTCAAGCACTAATGTTCACTATCAAGATTTTTACATTGACTTTTTACAGCTCTAATGTCATCAGTCATTTCTACTGTGATGATGTTCCCTTGTTACTTATGCTGTGCTCAAATGCACAAGAAATAGAATTGTTGGTCATACTATACAGTTTTATAATCAAAGGAAAAGTGAGGAGGGGGAAAGACCACCTTCCTCATTTTTGAATAGACATCAAACTTCCATCATCAGCTCCTCCTCCACATTGGATGGGGGGAGTTTTCTTGTTCCTACTTGGTCATACTGGGACTGACTGTCATGGCGCTATGGAAATGGGCCAAAAGGTGGTAACATACTAAAATATGGTAAATCATCTCAGGTTTCAGTATAATGTCACCTTTTCCCTATATTTTTGTTTTTAGTACGTGCAGAGAAGCATGTCCTAGGAATCGATAACTTACGGACATCACTGGGCAGGATGTGGACCTCATTCCACCATTGTTTTATTGTTTGAGGAGCATGTCTCATGCTTTTGTTGCATGGTTTTCTTGCTACAAAAGCGTACTTTCTTGCGTGATGATTAACTTACAGGGGTCTCCCATACTTTTTTTCTCTAGTTACAGTCCCCTAGTGAGATTAACTATTTAATCACATACTTTGTCCCTTTACTCTGTCCCTATCAGTTAAATATCTATTCTGAGTATTAAAATGAACTTAATAGTTTCTAGTCCCATCTTCCAAAGTCACAGAGAATGAGTTCCTTCTCACTTTCCTAATGATTGCTCTTAGGGTGCTTGCCCAAGTCAATCAGATCCCTTTCCTGCCCTGTCTTCTGTCCTCCTGCTCATGGAGCAGCATGGATGGATGGAGTGCGTGTGTGTGTGCACGCACACACACATGTACATACGTATTGGGACGTGTAAGGGAGGGAGGAGAGGAGAAAATTACAGCAGTTCTGAATTTAAAACCATGTAAAAACCATGTGAAAGAGGGAGTTGAAAATTAGGCAGACCACACTGCCCAGGACATTATGTGCCAAACTAAAAAGGTTGGGCTTTTAGGTAGGAGAGTCATACAGCCTGATTGGCAATTTAGAAAGATTATTCTTCCTATATTGCAGAGGAGACATTTGCAGGACCAGGACAGGAAGGCCCATTAAGAAAATACTGTAGGAGTCCAAATGAAGGATGATGAGGTCTGATCAAATCAGAGCCACAAAGATGGAAAAGCAATGACACGTTCAAGAAGTGTTCAGGAGAGAACTAAAGACTTGGTGATGGATGTAGACTTTGAGGTGGGAGGGAGCAGAGATGATGCCAAGGGGTGGTGGGACAGGCAGCAGATGGAACATCTCCAAAATCCTGCCACTACCAGAAATGTTCGTTCCAGGGCCTCAGAACCCTCCCAAAGGAATCTCTGCAGAGAGAGAAATGATACATTAACTGCAGGAGTTGGCAAGGAGTGAGGAATAGGAAACACTAATTACAGGCCAAGATAATTAGCCAGCAGGTCTGGGATCAGCTGCATGTAACCTCAACTCATCTGCTCCTGCAAATGGCCAAGGGAGGATGCGAGGGGAAGAGTGTGGGCAGGACATTTTGCAAATGCTAAGGGAGCAGCTGAGCGCAGACCTTGGTGACATGAGTTTGATATGCTTGGCACTTCGGCTCTGGTTTCTGGGACCCTTGGGGTGCCAAATGCACTGTAGCCAGCTGGCCAGTTGTCCAAATGTCACTTATGCCTCTAGGCCTCTAATTACCAGGCTCCCCTTTAGCCTTATAGCTACACTCCATTAGGGGCTTGCTGGCCACATGCACAGGAAATGGATTAGAGGCCATTAGACCATCCAGGTTGAAAAAGGTCAGGTCTTGCCTCCTGGGAGAAAAGCCTAAACTCCAGCTTCGTAATGTGGTGCTTGAAGCCAGAGAAAGATCTCAGGACTAGGAAAGAGTCCCAGCCCAGCTATATGGGCTTGAGCAAGCAAATGGTTTCACTTCGCACAGTCTTGGTTTGCTTATGGGGCATAAATAAGCAATGTTCCCTAACTGAGAACATCGGATGATATCAGAGGCAGGGGCGTATGCATCTCCAGAGCTGTTGCTACTGTTGCTGATGTTAACTGCTAACCTGAATGTATAGGCGGTGGACTGGGAGTGAAGAAACCAAGGTTTTAGTCCTATTTCTGCTAGTGTGCTGTAGGACCTTGGGCAAGTCACTTCTCTCTAGGGCTCAGGTTCTTCATCTGAAAACTGAAGGGATTGGTCTAGCTCAGTGATTTTTAACCAGAAATGTACGCTAGAATTGCCTGTAGAGCTTCTTAAAAGTGCAGGTACCCACATCCCACCCTGTTATGTTGAAGCAGATTCTCAGTGGATATTAGATGCTCACTGAGAACCACTGGAATGGATGGTCAGGTGCCACCTGCCTCCCACCTCTGCCTACCTGCTCCCCCCACACCTGGAACGACTTGATCCTTGCCCTTGAGATAAGCCTCCGCACAGCCTCCAGCACTGATCCTGTCCTCAAGCTCTGGATCTCGGCACCAAGCCCCCGGTGCTGAACTGTCTCTGACCTCCTGATTTAGTCTCAACCCTGAGCCCGAGCCAGCTGCCGAGATGTGGTCTCACCTCGTTCCCTGAGGGAGCTGCTCTGCTGGGCTTGTCCAGCACTGATTGGCAGAGCATTGTTTTGCTTTTCTCAGCATCTGGGGTGCCATCCCCCAACTCCAGACTAACGGGAGGAGACCTGCTATTGGCTGAAAGATTGCCTTGCTCTGGACCACCTTCTAGGAGCATCAGAATATCCCCTGCTGTTGGACCCCTCCTGTGGTCATGCCACACCAGTCTCCATCTGCCTCACAGAGAAGCCCACTCCCATCCAAGATCCGTGTTGGACCCTGTGATGTGGCTTCCTTCCCAGGACTGCATGTGGCCTGTTGCCTGACCAGGCAGGTGGCATTTTCTGCCTTTAGTGTGCCTTAGGCCTATGGCTTCATTCCTTTCCTATTTCAACCTGATTTCTGCTCTGTCCAGCTGCAGCTGTGGTCATTTTAATGAGCTCTGTCCCACCATGTGATTTCAGTGATTTCTGATATCCCTCCCAGCTGAAAAGTCAGAACCAGGGAGGTTGCTTCGGACCTGGTCTCTCTGGGACTGGGTTTCCCATCTGTACAAGAGGAGTGCCAGCAGCTGCCTTGTAGAAGCACTATATCTTACTCAAATGCTGCTCGCCATCTAGGAACTAAACTAAGTCCTACTCATCCTCAGGCCTCAGACCTTAGACGTTGCTTCATAACGCAGGTCTCTCTTAACAGCACTGCCCCACCACTGTTATGTGCTCTGATGCAACCTGTACTTTTCCTTTCAACTCCTTAAACTCATGTAATTGTTAATTACACACTTTGAAGCCTTTCTCCCCTACTAGGTCATAAGGTCTGTGAGGGCAGAAACTGCCTTACGCACCAACATTAAGCCCCCCGTGCCTGGCACAGAGAAGACAGGGGACGTGTCTCGTGACTGACAGATGAGACATTGGATGTGCCTTGTCACAGAGCAGGTGCTCAGTGAACATTATCCCTCCTCCCTGCTCCTAGAGAATACCACTGAGCCAATCCCAGGATGTGAGCACCCACCCAGCACAGGGGAGCACCAGGGCATGGCTGACCTGGTTCTTGGGGTCCGTGCTGGCCTTCCTTCTGGGCCCTGTGCAACCTGCCACCCTGGCAGGAGCCACAAACACCTAGAAGTCTGGTGAGAATGATACCCATAATTCCCAACATCAAAAGAATCCCACCTGAGGATCTTTATAAAAATACCTGCACCTACACCCAACCCATAGATACTTTGTTTTAATTCATCTGGAATGCAGCCTGGGCTTTGGTATTGTTCAATAATCCCCCAGGTTTTCCCTGTATGCAGCCATGGATGAGAATGATTGGTTGGGTTCCATCACCATTTTCCAGATACGAAGGTGAAGCACAGGAGGGCAAGGAATTGGCCCAAGAACACACAGTAGCTATGGCATAGCTGGATGGAGCTAGAACTCCGAAGACCTAACTTTCCACCACGGCTCCTCCCACTGTACCAAGTAACAAACTGAAATTCCCTTTATCAATTGCAGAGGCAGCTTTCCTGGCATCAAACAAGGCTGCGGGCAGAGAGCTTGTTTTTCTCTACCCTGGAAAATCTGTTATTAAAAGCTTGTTTATGCAAGAAGGGTATAATTAAAAGTGAATGAGTGTAATTCCTTTATCGCAATGAATATTAATTAAAGGTAAACACAGCATCAATATTCATTTAGAGGAAGACAGAGGCTGAAAAGAAGACTGCTTGTACTAGGGTTGTCCATCACATCAGAAAGTAACAGATGACAGGACCCCAATAGCAGAATGTTGCTCTATTTTTCTCACATCCTCTCAGATTTAGAAGTTAGCCAAAATACAAATCTTTTGTCAGGTCGGGCTCCATGACCAGGCACAATTGCATGGGCACAGCCCTGTCTTATTCAGGACACAGCTCTCAGAAAGTTGTGGGGGTTTTTCTGTTTGTTTTTTTCTGCGGTACGCAGGCCTCTCACTGTTGTGGCCTCTCCTGTTGTGGAGTACAGGCTCCGGATGCGCAGGCTCAGCGGCCATGGCTTACGAGCCCAGCCGCTCCGCTGCATGTGGGATCCTCCCGGACTGGGGCACGAACCCATGCCCTCTGCAATGGTAGGCGGACACTCAACCACCACGCCACCAGGGAAGCCCGTGTGTTTTTTTTTTTTATACATCTTTATTGGAGTATAACTGCTTTACAATGTTGTGTTAGTTTCTGCTGTATAACAAAGTGAATCAGCCATATGTATACATATAGCCCCATATCTCCTCCCTCTTAAGCCTCCCTCCCACCCTCCCTATCCCACCCCTCTAGGTGGTCACAAAGTACCGAGCTGATCTCCCTGTGCTATGCAACTGCTTCCCACTTGCTATCTGTTTTACATTTGGTAGTGTATATATGTCAATTCTACTGTCTCACTTCGTCCCAGATTACCCTTCCCCCTCCCCGTGTCCTCAAGTCTATTCTCTACATCTGAGTCTTTATTCCTGTCCTGCCCCTAGGTTCATCAGAACCGTTTTTTTTTAGATTCCATATATATGTGTTAGTGCAAGGTATTTGTTTTTCTCTTTCTGACTTACTTCACTCTGTATGATAGACTCTAGGTCCATCCACCTCACTACAAAGAACTT